AGTCAGGTGTGCCGCCCTTGGATACGGACCTCCTCGGTGTCAGGTATGGTACGTTTGTTCAGTTCGGCATCTCGGAGGCGAAGTGCTGGAGTGGCGAACGAGGTGAAGTCTTGAGTTCGGATAGGGGAGTGTCCCGAACTGCCATGAGGCGTGCCAGTTCGGGTCACTACCTTGTGTGGCTCGGGGCCTAAGGGAGAGTTTGGGCTCCTCGTAGGGAGGTCGGGCTCCTCGTAGGGAGTTCGAGCTCTTAGTAGGGATATCGGGCTCCTCGTACAGAGGTTGGGCTCCTCGTAGGGAGTTCAGGCTCCTAGTAGGGAGTTTGGACTGCTGGTTTCTTCCCTTTGGAGCTTGCGCCCTGGGTGCGTTGTGCTGAGCTGCTTGCCTTTGCCACGTGTTGAGTGATTACGAGGTCAGGCCAAATCTTCCTTCATCAATTGCTCCCCACTCCTCGTGCTAAGGGTCTTGCCTTGGCGCGGGGAGTTTGCAAGGTGGCAGGTGGATTTGTCTCGTATTTTGAAGCGTGAGGTGCGTTGTCAGGGTTAGTTTCTTTGAGCGCCCAGGAGACGGAAGACGCGCCGACCTGCCTATAAATGCTGCCAGACGTGACAGCGTGCGCTTTATTTTAAAGTAAAAAAGGCACGCCGCTGGGAGACGTAACAGCAGGCGTCCTTTCAAATTTTGAAAACGCGTCGCTGCCGCTTTTAATGTGAGGAGATGTGCGCTGTCGTTCTATCAGTTTCAGAAAGACGTGCACCGGCACTCTATCAGTTTCAGAAAGACGTGCGCCGGCACTCTGTTAGTTTCAAAAAGACGTCCGCCAATCACGTCTCGGTCTCAGGGGATGTGCGGTCTGCGCGACTGCGGGCCGTTGGATTGGCTTTGATCTATGCCGTTGTTTCTTCGTCACTGTGGGTATAAATAGTGGGGGACCCCAGTCGCTTTCACTTCTGTGCTGCCTCTTGAGCTCGCGTCCAAGTTTCAGCTCGCGCTCAGGCTTTCAGTTCGCGTTTTCCAAGTTTTCGCTCATTCAAGTTCCCGTAGTCTTGTTGAAGCTTTTTTCCGGGTGAGTACCTCCCTGGAATCCACCTTCTCTCCTCGATGTCTAGCTCGGAATGCTCAGACGGTCCTTCAAGTGGGTAAGATGCAGGTTCTACGAACCGAGTCGCATCCCCTGATAGTCCGAGCGAGCCGGAGGTAGAGCTCGAGGAAGAGTTCGAACTCGTAGGTCGAGTCGCCTCGGGTAGTTTGGCGTCCACCTCTCGTCGGGGTCGGATGTTAGACAAGTTTGGCCCCTCGACCATGACGCCTGAGGGACTCCAATCCCTTATTACCTATTACAATTTGCCTGGGGAGTACGCTTATTTTATACCTTCGGGTAGCTTTCCTTGGGAACACGGTCCTGATGAGATCGTGATATTCCGTGAGCAGCTCGCTGCGGGGCTGCGATTGCCTTTTCATCCCCTATTTGTCGAGGTTTTGAATCACTTCGGCGTTACGGTCGGCCAGCTTCACCCGAACTCCATTCGTAATTTGGTGGGGACAATCTCCCTATTTAGCGAACATGGCTTTCCTTTAGACTTGGAGATCTTCTCTTCCATCTTAATGCTTAAGACGCAAGCGGGTCTCCTCCCCGGGCGTAGGCGGGGGTATTACCTGTCTCCTCGCCCAGGTTTTAAGCTTTTACATGATCTTCCTAACAAGGTCTCGGTGTGGAAGCGGGACTACTTTGGGGTGCGAAGTGTGTTGGGGTGGCCGTTTCAGACCGGATGGGGGGTGGACGCCCCTGACTTTAGTGTTATGCTTGACAAAGAGACGGTGAAGGGCCTCCGGCAATGGGCGCGGCTTGGGATAAAGTGCCAACAGTATCTGACGGAGGCCAAGCTCATTGCGGTCGGCCTGAGTTCGGGTAGGTTCCTTACTTGGAGGTCCTATTTTGCTCTGTCTGGCTTTTTTGTGATGTCGAACTCTTTTTTGCAGGTGTGATGGACTCAGGAGGGACTTGTGGTGGGCGCTTGTTTCAAGGCATGAAGAGGAGGAAGCGAGTTGCCAAGCGAACTCGTGCCGAGCTGCCCCTGGATGCGGAGCCCGAGGTACCGGACTACCCGTCGGGGGATAGGCCCAGGGAGCCCGAGATGGCTCCTCCAATGCAAGAAGCGGCAGGGGGCCCGTATGCTGAGACTACTTACATGGGGGCTCCCACCTACTCTGGTGCTCCTGCTTACTTTGGGTCTGCTCATACGTGAGCTGGGCCCTCGGGCTCGGGGGCCCCAGGGGAATTCAAGAGTGTGCTGTCGCCGACCTATGCTCTTCAGAAGAGTAAGGAGGCCATCTTCCTCGAGGAGGTCGCGGCGTGGACTGATCTCCCTCTGCACCAGGTGGCCTGCCATGCTGTTACTCATGCCATGGTTGTAGGTCAGACTTGTTATCGAGCTCTTTTGCTTTTATCCTTCTTGTCGTGCTGTTACTCACTCGTTCTTTTTGGTAGGTGAACTCTTCTATTCACGCCTTGGCGGCCCAAGTGGAAAGGAGCTCGAGGCAGGCGCGAGCTGCTAAAGAGGCTCTTCGTGCTGTTGAGACGACTTCCCAAGCTGCTGAGGCGGCTTCCCGAG